TATATATATATATATATATATATATATATATATATATATATATATATATATATATATATATATGTATATAAATAATGATACACTGTGGAGTTATATTAAAATTTTGCTTGGCATTTTTTATTTTGAAATCTTTATATTTAGTTTCCATGTAAATAAAGATTTTATCGTTTCGTTAATAAATTAAAGAAAAGAAAAGGAAAAGCTCTTACCAATCATAATTAAGTTCTTAATTAGTAAAATAGATAAATATATCTCCTTTTTTTTTTTTTTTTCCTTTAATGTGTTATTAAAATAAAATCATGATTCAAGTAACCGGCGGCCGGAAACATAGTAACCACTGAGCAGAAAACGGCGGCCGGAGAAGACAAGCAGACGACGATTAAGGAAGAGGTTGCAGACTCTCAGAATTTCAGGAGGCGGCGGTGGCGGTGGCGGCGTTTAGAGTCACTGGGGAATCTTGTTTAGCTTGCAATACGCATACTCACCATACTTCTTCGTCTTATACTTTGGCGGATTGTCTTGGTCGACCAATTTCGGATGAGGCCCAACTTCAAACTCCGGCGGTGGCTCCAGAAACACCGGCCATGATATCCTCGCCCTATCCTTTTTCACCGTCGTCCTGTGGAGCACACTCTTGTACTTCCCATTACTCAGTATCTGCCCCACAAAACACTTCTGATTTAGCCTTTTTCAAAAGAAAAATGAACAAATCTTTCATTACCTCAATTTGGTCGCCGATGTGGATAACGAGGGCATTGGGGATGTAATTGACGTTGTACCAATGCCCATCTCTAAACGCTTGCAGGCCTTGAACATCATTGGGCACAAGAATTGTAATGGTCGACATGTCGGTATGAGCAGGGACTCCAAGAGCCAGATCAGGACATGGGCATGGCGGGTAGTAATTGATTTTCAGTAAATACACCAATTTGTCTCCACCGGCGCTCTGTTTTAGCTCGTGCCCTTCAAGCCCCAGCCCCAGCGAGAGGCTTCTGAAGAGCTTATCCACAACCCCATGTAAGTGCTTTCTGTACTCCTCATTCGCAACCCTGCAAGAGACCAGACAGACCCAGAAACCCAGTAACCAATCAAGAACTATGATCTTTCAACAAATCAACAATCATGTCCGTACCTGTAGGAAGGAGGGTTTTGGGGCCAGAATTTGAAGTTGATGGCAGAAGGGGGCCAAATGATGTGGAACAAATGGTCGACCCAACCCTTTTTTCCATCGACTTCCTTTTGGAGTTTGGTTCCGTAGCCTTCGACGGATTTGGAATCAGGGGGCTTAGCGTACACCTCTTTCTCCTCCGGTGGGAGCTCGAAGAATGCCTTCCCGACGGCCTGCAAATGGGCGATTGCTTCATTTGGGATGTCGTGGTTGATGATTTGAAACATGCCCCAATTGCGAGAAGCGTCGTCGATGGCTTTGATAACAGAGTCCTCATCTGGGTTTTTGAAATCGATGACGGGAACGGCGAGGAGTTGGCCTTTGACGGTGGTGATTCCGGGCTGCTCAGGGTCGGGGCGGACGAACTCAGCTGGGATACTACCGGAGAAGAGCGCCGAGGAAGCGATGTCCTGGACCCTCCCGACCTCCATTTGGGAAAGGAATGGGTTTGTGTGTTGGGATGGGAGTGGGATGAATTTATGAATTTTGGTGAGGGAGAAGAAAGGGATGGGCAGGAGAGGCGGAGAGAAACAGAGGCATACAGATTGTTTCAACCCACTGGGCGATCGGTGCGTCTTTTCAGCACAATTGAAGGGCTGCCACTTCTTTTCACATACAAGGATCCCTCAAATTTCTCAGAACAGTCACCTCGTTGATTGTGGTCTGTGGAGTCGACCTCTTTTAAAAATGGCAAGAAGCCACAGTATTAAAAGTTTTTCTTTTTTTGAATTTTTATACATTTATTTTTGGGATGTTATATAATTAAGTCAAAGAAATAATCGGATATAATAAATAGATGGACAATTATATGAATGAGCTAAACTATTCTCACAAAAGTAACTTGGTGAATATGACATTAAAAGAGATGGTCAAGACGAGACCTATACTCGAGAAGTAGTTAACCGGCCACGATGAGATTTGTTAGACAAACATAACTTTCTACAATGATATGATATTGTCCACTTTGAGCATAAATTCTCAGGACTTTACTGGCCTCACACAATGAAAAGTGTATTCTTAGATTATAAACTCATGATCATTCCCTAAATGAACCAATGTGGGACACTTTCATCCAATAAGATTTAGGTTTGCCACTGTTTATAACTTGCCAAATAGCGTTTGATTAATAATCATAATACATGCACAAAGATTAGATTAAGGATTTACGTTTTCGTTTGGCATATAGTATACTAATATATAATCCAAGGTATCATTTCCCATTGACATTTACAGCACGTCCCACAATTTTAAATTGAAATAACGTCGTCTACAGAGAGAGCTTAATGCGGACGCACCATTGAAGCAGCCAAAATTTAGCCACAGCACGAGCCACAAGCAGGTAATGAACCTGATTGCAATAAGTTAAGATCTCGGAGCAACAAATAAATCAAAACAAATCAAATCAATGTATGGGGGAAAAGAGTTCCAAAAAATAAGCATTCAACTTACTATGATCGATCCCTCGAACGTTATCGAGACTGCGAGGAGGACCGCGTGGACGACCACCGTAAGGCCCTGATCCAGGACCTCCAGGGCCGCCACCGTCCCATTTCTTTCCAGAACCGGATCCTTTTCTATAAGCCTCTGATTTTTCCATCTACAAAGAAGTATGGAAACTTAATCTTCCTTCCCAAGATGATGGTTGCTCTGAATGCTACCGTTTTTCCAGCGCAAGAATAAGGAACAACTTACCGAAAACAAGGTGGTAAAGAACACACCAATAATGTTTACGATGGCCCAGAAGAAATCAGTGATGGTTTTGAGACGCCAGAATGATCTCTGGGATTTCACAACGCCTACAAGATATCACGCAAGTGCATAGTTGGTCAGTAATGCTCAACAGAATCAACAACACGGCAACAACTTATTGTCCCAAAAAGCCACTCAGAGAATCCTGCTAAACAGACGACCAAAAGGAGAAATCCCAATACCAAGTTGAGAACATTAAACTTTACCTGATAACCTCCTAATGTCGTTGGCACATTTTTAAGGGTGCATGAAAAAAATTCAAATTCTTAACCAGCACTTGCAGAGAATGAAGAAAAAACTGCCAAACCATGGGAATATAATACATTTTAGCTCATTGATTCAGTTACAATTATGGTGATTTCACAAAATTTAACAAGATCTTTGTCGATTGCTCCCAATCAGGTAGAGATTAACAAATAGATGCCATAAAGAAGCAATATATCATGCTTTAAGACATGGACTTAACATTGATCACTAACACTGAAGAGCAAGATAAACAAAAAGCAAATGCAATACAATTTTTAATTTTACATTGACCCGCAGCATTTCACAATGAAAAGACAAAAAATTCCTCTTATACGAATGGTAACCCTTTGAGTGAAGAGCCATTTTCCAGGCCTTTTATCCTCAATTAAATTCACTAAAGTCTATAACCATATAATTGATAAAAAAAGTGTAGAGCTAGAAATAGAGTGGAAAAGTAATAAACCCGCTGTCACTTTATCCACACACTCAGAGAGAGAACCAAATACCTTCATCTTTAAAGTGTCAGTAACAGCTTGATAAAATGGCACCACCAAATTTGAAGTTCAAGGTAATGAAATAAGAATTCAACTCATGTAACATAATAAAACCATCAAGCAATGTGTCTGATCTATGTAATTAAATGACTAAAATTTTCTCGAACTCATCCACCATATTTCTCTATTTTCCTTATCATTCCATTACGTCGTAGAACATCGCTCTCTTTTCAACTAAAATTCGAGGATTCTTCCCCTTTTCGTGATTAAATTCATGACCTACGTTTATTTCCATTCCTGTGGTTTGATCTTTTGCGTACAATTTTTCCATTTCATATTTGACAACATAATATTCAGGAAGCTTCTAACAATTAGTTAGAAAAAAGACCGAGAGATATGCAATCAAATCAAAGCGCCGTAAGAATACCACGTCTTCCAGAAAAAAATACTGGATCTAACCTACTAAGCTCAAAATCGAAACCAGAATCATGAATGCACAATACCACGGGAAATCGGAAAAGTACTAGAATAAAATACATGGACAACCAAAACATCCAAGGATCATTTCTGAAGACAACAAGAGGACCAAAATCCCCAATTCTACGACAGAAATTAGAAAACAAAATCTAAAATATTTCCAAATTAAAGTCATCAACCAATCCCTCGGCAGTGAAATCAAAATAGAACTGATTAGAAATTGAGATAGAACCTCGTTCAACGTACGCCATGGGAGAAACTTTCCAGAGCCTTCTCGGTGTCGAAGCGAATGAAATGCGATATTCTTAAAGCTGGATGTCGAATTACCGTTCTCGTAAGTCTTCGGTCGACTAGAAATTTCCGCTTCCATTTTTACAGATTTGCGTGTGATTGGCTACAGCTACGTCATATTTTAATATATATATTTTTAAAAATTTAACAAACTGGATGACGTGTAAACTTTAACGACAACGCTCATTCGACCCGGGTAAACCGTGCCGGTCCGCATTTTGCCAAACCAAAAAGACAAAAGGTCAAGCTCCGATGCGTTGATAGTTTCGCCAGAATAATCGGACGGTTGTGATCGACCCAGATCACGATCAGGGCTGAGACCGAGATTTCTTCATCACTAGAACTTTAATGCACTGGCCAGGAATCGAACCTGGATCTGTACCATAGCATTCTAGTACTAAACCACTTGTGCTTGTTGAAATAATTATCATTTTGACTTTATACAATAAAACTTTTTTTTGATTAATTAATCTATATTTAAAAGTATATTGACGTCCATGATTAAAACCCCATATATATACATATTTCGACTCATTAATAATGAAACATAACTTTTATGTTGAATTTCGGGGAAA